CATCAATCCATCCATCCATCCAGCCATCCATCCATCAATTGGAGTACAGCCTGTGCTGCTAGCCTATCATAGCTGTTCTGGCTTGGCCTTCGACTTGGGCTCATCATTGGTTGTTCCATCAGGTGAAGCGCTTGGGGGACCCGGGTGAGATCGCAGATGCGGCCGCCGGGCAAGGATTCAGCTGATGGCACCATCAAGTCGCTTAAACGTTAATGTTTAGTTTGTTTGTTTTGTCGGTGCTTTCTGTCTCAAAGGTAAAAGCTGACAGGCGCCTCTCCCTAACATCAACCCAGACCCTCTGGCCCAAATCTCCAAAGCTTGTGCGCCAGACACCGCATCCAAAACATGTGAGTTGACAGGTAGCGCCTCATCTCCGAAAAGAGCTATTGAACTTTGGGAATCTTAGACTCTTAGACTCATCACTTTTCTGTGCATTGAAGCTTCGTTCTTAGCGACGTTTCTTTCTATTGTGCTGATTACTTTGTCATAGTTGGGTAACATCTTACATTTTTATGGGTACTTAAGCCCAATGAGGAATACAAATGTATGTTTTTATTCCTATCCCAACCATGAACAAGTTAAGTTAGGATGGCAAAGGCCCCATGGCCCATGAAGGGATGCCGGCTCAGAACAACCACCAGCTAGGCTGCTAAACCCTTGGGGCCTTGAACCCTAAAGCCGGAACCCCAGCCCAAAACTCCAAACCCTGCTACCACATTCCGAAGCTTCTCAACCCGGCATTCTTCGCACGTCCCGCAAGGTGCTTTTTTTGGCTTCTCCGGCTGCCGGCTATGTTTGAGCCTTGATGTTCGGGTTGTGGGTTTAGGGTGCCCTAGAGACCAGAGTGCATAGAAAGATGCTTGAGCTTCCTGCTTGCGTTTTGGTGTAAAGGGTTTTGAATATTTTGCGCACGTGACTTTGCTTTTGCTGGTTTATGATCCTTTGCTCATAAAGATTACTTCATGAAGTTGAAGTTCGGCGTGGATGCCGTACTGTAGGTGTTGGCATCATCTACTCCGTGACCCGAAAGCTCTGAAACCCAAAACTGAGAAAATCCTGAGCCAGAAGCGATGCTGCCTATTGCTTGGCATGGGAGGGAACTCGTTTTCAGGTAGAAGTGCGGGACGTCAGGACACTTTTCGCTTTTGCCTGTGCAAAGACGTGTTTGGGGCACTAGGCGAGGGCCCTGAGGGAATTATTTGAGGTTTAGGCTGTAGGGGGGGGGGCATTTCACTTGCAAGCTAGCCTGGTATGTTACGAAACCCCAAGCCCTAAACCATGAAGATCGGGATCTTGGAGCTCATGCTGAAGAACATGTTTGGCGTCGTCCTCTATTGGGAAACTCTCGAGGGAATCCTCCTTCGACAAATACCTCAACCTGACAGCTAAACGCATCTCCAAGTCTTAAGTCCTGAACCTCAAATCCGAAACCCCAATGCCGTTGAACCTCTAAACCCTATAGACCCCTAAACCCCTAAAGCCCTAGACCATGATCCCCGACATTTCTCCTAGATTACCGGCCACACCCTGCACGTCAACGGCGGCATGCACATGGCTTAAGAGGCCTCGGTTCTTTGGACTTCAGGTGGTGTAGTTTGGGGGTTTGAGCTATATCACGGAGTCCACGGTGTGGTCTACAGGGTTTTGGGTTTAGACAGGGGCCAGCAGATTCAAGCCCAGCGTTGGCACGAAAACCTCGTACGACAACGTCTTGCTACTGCTGACATGGATAGTTATATGGCTGCGTTCACCCTGTTTTGATTGTATCGTTGACATGGTGTGTGAAATGAGTGCTGGCATTATGTAGTAGTGTAGTACTTAGTAGTCGATTGGCACAGTGATGTTATTTGGGGCATCATCACTGGCAGGATTACTCTTCTGGTCTTGGTAAGACCATTGATGTGACTAATATGAGTACAGCTGGTATGACAAGATGTGACTCAAGGGTGTGTTGAATTCTAAGCATGCTACTTTGTAGGTATGCATGTCAGTATCGCTATGTAGTCCAGTCGAAATATCAGTAGTCGTGCGCTTGCAGGATGATGTTGGAAATTAGCCGGTATCTGGAGAGGGGGCAAATATGTCTCGGAGCTCATAGAGTTCAGGGTTTTGTGAATCGACGACAAAGTCGCAGCGTGCCGAACTTCAGCTCGAAAATGTTTGCCACAACCGGCTTCCAGGTTGATGGGTTTAGGGAATTGGGTTCCTTTCTCTGAGCCGTCAAGGGCTAAAGCTCAAGTGTCTCGCCTTCGCCTTGCAACCTAAGCTCTGCATGAAGGTTTCAGTTCCAACATCTTTACTGTAGTGGCCTTGATAATTACCTGTAGTGTTTTGGGGTTTCCTTATTATATATAACTATAGTTGAATGGCCCCAAAGCCGTTTTCTAGTTATTACGGCCCTATATAGTACCCCTCAACCCCAAGCCCGAGATCGGAATTTCTGCAGGACTTCGTCGCAGTTCCCTCGATGCTCTCTGAGGGCCTGACAAGTTTCGTTTTCCCTGTTTCGGTTCTGGTGACACTCTGCTGAAAGCATGGCATACAGACACAGACAAGTCTTTCAGGTTGCAGCGGGGTATGATTGAATGTTGATAATACAGGATACAAAATGCATCAACTTGTTCTAGGCACAAATGTCGCCGTGCAAATTATGCAAGCTTAGGGATGCAGTGCTTCATCTCCTCACTCTTGCTTGTCGCAGCTTCAGATCGTTCTCTCCCCACCTTCCGCTCTCCTACACACTCTGTCCCTGTGCCTGTCTTTCTCTCCCCCCCGGTCTGCCTTCGTGTGTCATGCACCGCACAGACTCTCCTTCCGTGTCTGTCACTCACTCTCTCTCTCTCTCTCTCTCTCTCTCTCTCTCTCTCGCTATGGCTTTCTCTTTCTCTTTGTCCTCACTTCTCGACCGCAAATGTCTCTTTGACGCACATCCACATTGTGGGTTCGACCGTGTCTTCAGCAGGGAGATTGCACGAACTTCCTATCTGAAGAAGCAGTCCTCACATGAGAGCTGCTGATTGTACTGAACTTGCCCTGGCCGTGTAACCATGAGATCTTGGGATTCCTTCGTGGGTTTCGTGAGTGTATTTGTGCAAGCGGCTTGCATCTGTGACCATCCCACTCCTCAGCCGAGACCCTTATGAACTGCTTCGTTAACACCCAAAATTAAAACATACGAAGGCAGACGGCAAAGATTTTCAAAATGAAGACGGCAGCACTTTACGTGAGGCCTGTAAAAATCGATTTTCCACCGTGTTCTCCGCTTCGGTCAGTTGGGCATCCCTTCAGCGTGGTCAGTTTACATAAAGCTTGGAGGCTGGTCCTGGACAGGCTGTACTGTAGGGCCTTAATAACTGGAGTAGGGTTTTGGTACTATATTCACAATGAGGTACCCCTAGGACAGTATAGGTCGTTATTAAGGCCCCTATAGTAGGTGGCTGTCTGCAGGCTGCTAGTTGAAAGTTAACGATTAATTTAAACTCGGGCTTCGCGAAGCATGGCTCCATTCTTTGCGAGCATGCCTTCAAGGGCTGCCACTAGGCGTCTTCAGTCTTGAGACCCTAATGCTATGGTACAGGCCCTGCATGCACGAAGGGATGCCCCCTGCAGCATCGATGATCGCAGGTTTTGATGGCAGGGCCAAGATGAATTGAATAATCAAATAACTGAGCAACAGTGTCCCATGTCCCCCTAGCCGTGCCGCAGGACCGTGTCGTGGCAGGCTCTTTGTGTTTCCTCCCCATAAAAGTGCAGGTGCATATGTATATGTATTGGTGTGACACGCATGTAATATGGACATACACATATACATGTATAAGTCGTACACCATCCATTCATCCATCCATCCTTCCATCCATGCATCCATCCATCCATCCATCGATCATCCATCCATTCATCCATCCATCATACATGCATACAAGCAAACGTACATACATACATATGTACATACAACTCGCATAGAAACAGGCAGAGGCAGACAGAGAGACAGACACAGAGACAGACAGACAGAGACAGAGACAGAGACGGAGACACAGACACAGACAAACAGAGACAAGGACTGACTGACTGACAGACTGACAGACTGACAGACATATGGACATGCAGCATGCAGGCATACACACGCGTACATGTACATGTTCACGCGTACATATATAGACGCACAACACACATACATACTTACATACATACAAATGCATACCTACTTACACATACCTGCGCACATGCATGAATACATAGATTGTACCTGCATACTTGCTTGCCTAGACACACATACAGACTTACTTAATTTACATACACACATACATGCAGACCTAGACATACATACACAACTCATGGCCACAAAATGAGCGGCTATGGCCCCTTGAAACGTAGGGTGGTTGGGCTTGTGAGTTCACACAGAATTATCAGTACCATCGACGATGGGCACGAATATTCTCATCCCAGCAGGCATCTTCCTGGCATCCATGCAGAGATTGAAGACATCCTGCTAAGTTCTGGTACATACCAAAGTGCCTGGATGCACATTAGTGCTTCAGGTGTCATCGTTGTCTTCGTCAGAACAAGAATGTTATGCAACAGCGAACCATGATGGTCTTTTGCCATGGTCCAGCCGGATCTACCTGCTAACGAAGCCACACCTCGGCAACTAGCGGATTTACCGCTGGGAAGGCCCTGAGTGATCTGAGTGGAAATCCGGCGGCGCTCGGCCGCCCTTCATCTCTTTGCCTTAAAATACTGCAGGCACTTGGCTTAATCGGAATTCCAACCCCTGTAGGTTTCGGAGCTACTGCGGCCCCGTTTCTGGGAGACCTTTGAGCCGCTGCATCCCCGTATATATACATATCTTGTGTGTGTATATTTATATGTATGTATATGTATGTATGCATATATCTATACAGATGTATATATATATATATATATGTACTTCACAGCAAGCATCTTACAACCTTCGGAACACCTGTAAACCCATCCCGGTACCCTCGAAAACCGGAGCGTAGCAGGAGCTGCGGCGCGAGTACGCCGCACTCGGACTACCTGCCCGCACAGCCGCGCCGAAGGTAGGACCCTGATCTGTGAGGGCTTGGGACTTGGGGTGTATACGCTTTGTCGTAAAGGGTGTAAAGTTGGCCGTTTCAATTAACTATAGAGCTTCTCGGCTTTTGGAGCCGTCAGGATGCGAGGGTTTATGGTTTGGGGTCGCGAGCTGCGGAAGTTCGGTTTGATATAGGACCTATAGGAGACCGTGCAGAAATGGGTTACCCTGTAATGAAAGTGCAGGCGCCAAGAGGAAGCCCATCCACATCCTGCACAAGGGGCATACCAGAGTCGAAATCTCCACTCGATTTGGCTTTTGACTACGTTGCTTAAACTCCGAAAACTCGAGCCCTAGATCCCGGACCCCATGCGGGGGCTTCCGAAGATCAGAGGTACCCTACTTGGGGTCCTTATAATAAGGATCCTACTATCTAGGGTACGACAGCACGGTCCCCCATTTTCGGAAACTCCCATGTATCTGAATGCCAAAAGTCCTAGGTGCGCAGTGCCACGTTGTCGTTGATGGCACCGCACGGGGTTGAAAAGCCCCCGCGATCGAATTACATCTATCCATAAGCCAAAAGGATAACTTCCTTGGGCCAGGATACTCGGCCCTAATTAAGAAGATGTTTACATCCTACAGATGAGGGTCGGGACTCTTATGCAGCTTAAGTGTATAATGTGTGGAGGCAACCCTTCTGCACGCAACCCCAAATCAAAAAAGCTCGAAAGCCTTGGTGCCAAAAACCTGAAAGCCCTAGGCCCTGAAACCCTACATCCTAAAATCCAAAACATCCGTTAAATCATAAATCTACAGCCCTACATCCCGAAAGCTAAAAACCCTAAATCAACGCATCCAAACAACTGCAGGTCTTAGATCTTCTGCCCAGGCTTAGGCCTGGGTGGGGACAGAGTGGAGTTGAAGAGCTTTCGGGGTGCAGGGCTGGGCTGTAAACCTACCTTTGGTTAGTAGGGAATGGAGGAATGGGGTACACTTCTAACTACTGTTACTACCAGTCTTCCATTCCCTACTAACCAAAGGTAAGTAAAGACGAGGGTTGGTGTCAGCTGTGTGAAGTGTTCCGGGGGGGCGGGCGCTGGGGTGTATAGGTTTGGATTGCATGGGGTTTGGCGTGCCACAGAGTCAGACATGAGGGGTATGGGAGGACGGTTCTTAAGCCTGCAAAACCCGAATCCGCTGTGACCTTGTAAGATCTTGAAGATGCAGCGTCTGTTTTCACGGGGTGCCTGGGGAGTGTGGCATTTTGGATGTGGAAAAGTGAAGTTGGGGTGTCCTGATGCAGATACTGCAAAACGGAATCCCACTTCACCCTCTTCCAAAGCCTGGATTTCCGGCGCGCCGGAAGTTCAGGGCCACGGCTGAAGGACGAGGGAATGCTAAGCTCTTCAATATAGGATATATGGGGTTGCAGGTTTAGGGTTGAAGGTTTTCGGTCGCAGATGCGGATATATCTGGACTCTGCCCAACGCCCTGGAGCTCTCAGCCTCAGGGAAGCGCTGGAAGGGGCAGTCTTGCCACAACAAGCAGCAAGCCTACCCTCCTCAGACCCCAAAGTGGCTGCAGCACTAGTAGAAAACCCGAACCCTACAACGAAAGTAAGTCAGTAAGTCATCCCAACTTAAAACAAACCCCTAAAACCATAACCCATTTAGACCAGAGCCCTGAATCCCAAAGAGTTCGAACCCGGCTTGACCAGAGAAAGCCGATTGCAGAGGCAAGCCGCCTTGTGGGAGAGTTTGCCTCTCGGCGAGCTGCAGCGTGAGCCGGGCGCTGAGGCTCCCTTTAGCGTTGAGCGCGTGTAGGGGTTTAGGATGTGTAGTTTAGGATTCGCCTACAACCCTTGTACCATAAACCCTAAACCTCAAGGCAAACCCCAAACAGCAGCTCCTAAGGTGTCGCCAGCTCGGAGTGGAACATGGAACTGGCAGCCGGGATCAGGTCATGCCCTGGTTCAGCGATGGCAGGGTTTGGTTTGGGCTTTAGGATTTTTGGGTTTAGGGCTTAGGGCCTGTGTTGAGGGCCAAACTTTGAGCATTGTGATGGCCTGGGTCTAATAGAGGCGGAACCTGACTAGGAAGTAGCCGTGTTCCTCGATAAGCTGATGCCATAGACCTTTCGCAGAACTGCGCTTTCAACGTTCCCTACCTGGCTTGTAGTATTCTGGCGCATTCGGTTCGACGCACTGCGTTATGCGTGCTGGATCCCCAGGACCGGGCGTGCAGTCTTACTTTGTCAGATTGGTCCTGTGATGTCAATTAGTTTGTGACTTCAATAAGCGAGGTGAACTCTTGTTCTCGTACATGGTCCTTGCTATGCTGGCAGCACCAGTGTTCGCCCTGCGCGAGTCCCGCTCCGTTGCAGGTACTCAAAGCGCTGATTTGTGGCACTTGGGCGAAGCTTGGCAAGCAAGAGTGTGTGAATGTTCTGAGTTCTTTATTCTCAGAGGTGGCATTGCTTAGCAACATGGGCAAGGTACTTTCTAATTACCCCCAAAATCCTAAACCCTACTGAAGCTTTAAACCCTAACCCCCAAACCCTAAACCCTAAACGCCACTTCAGCTTTAAACCCTAACGCCTAAACCCTAAAGGCCCTAAACCCTACTTACTCTTTCAACCCAACAAAGCGATCGCCAGGCCGCCCGAGGACGCCAAGGATGCGTCGGAGACCGAGAAGCTGCCTCCTTCTTGAGCTTTCAAGGGCTCCTTTAAGGGGACTGTCGGAACCTTTTAAGGGTTCCTTTAAGGGTTCCTTAAAGGGATCTATAGAGGGCCTCTTAACGGGGTCCTTTAAGGGATCTATAGGGTGCCTTTAAGGGTTCCTTCAGGGGTTCCTTTACTTGGGTTGACGATAACTAGGGCTTATAAGGTCTATAGTTTTTAGAAGGGTCGATACTGGGGCCTGCGTTTGCGAGGTTTAAGGTGTGGTTATCAGAGCGATGTCTAGCGCTCCATTGGGCCGCGAAAGGCACTCGTAGGGTATTGATAGGGTTCGGAAAAAATAATAACCCCTAGTCCTAGACCCCAAACCCTAAACCTCAAACCGCTTCGGGTTCAGGGTTACGGGGTTGTTGTTCGGACAGGCTGCAGTCCAGATCCTTGAGCCTTCCAACGAAACCTCAAGTCCGCACCGCAATAAAGCAACATAGAGGAAAGCCTAGAGCTACCCCTCCTCAAATGCGTCGCAGCTGAAGTGGCGAAGAAGTCTCCATGTGGGGCTACCGGAAATTTTGGACCCTGGGCCCAAAAGCCTGCCTCCTAAAACCTAAACCCTAAACCCGTTTCACAGTTCGCGTCTGCGCGTAAGAGCAGGAGCCACATATGCGGTCCCATTATCCGAAACCCCTACAACCCTGAAGCCCGAAACCCCTAGAGCCCTACACCCTACAACCCTAAAGCCCAAAACCCTACAACCCTAAGACCCTAAAACCCTAAACCCTGAGCCCTAAACCCCTAAACCCTACGACCCTAAACCCCTACAACCCTTAAAACCCTAAACCCTAAACCGCTAGAGCCCTAAGACCCCAAAAACCCTAAACCCCTAGAGCCCTAAACCCTAAAGCCCCCAAAAAAAAACTAAAGCCCCTAGAACCATAAGACCCTAAAACCCTAAAGCCCTGCAGCAGTGCAGGTCGCAAGACTTTTGGAAGTCTGCGGCTGGCAAGGCCTGGGGACGGTTGCTGCGACATGGGAGTTTCCGAAAATTAGGGGTACCTTTCGAATTGGGCATTCCAGACTTTAATTATCTCTATAAATTAGGAAGTCTTAGAAAGAGAGAGATGGACATTTCTGAAAATTAGGGGTACCTTATTTTGGGGTCCTGATAATAAGGATCCTAGCTATTTAGGGTACTATACTAGGGTCCCAATTTTCGGAAACTCCCACATTCTCATTGTTATACGCATTCTGATTCTGATTCCGGGTCTGGTTCTTATACTTATTCTTATTCTCATCCTTATTCTTATTATCATCCTTGTTCTTATTCTCATCCTTATTTCTATTATTATTCTTGTCCTGATGCTTCTGATTATATGCTACTTGTTCAATCATCTAGGATTTTGGGGTTAGGGTTTAGGGTTGTGATCAGAATGCCTTGGGGTCGAGGCTACATGTGCTTAGTGACAAACTGTGCAGTCGCTTGCTGCTTAACATTCTGGCGCTTGGAGCTGTGGGTTCAGGGAAAGCCATGTTGAGAATTATTGCCCTTGCAACTATCGTCTCCTTATGTCCTCATGCTTGAATCGGATCCTTATACTGATGCGTCGGGGTAAAGCTGGGGTGATTTGGGTTCAGGCATACAGGGCTCAAGCTAACAAAACTGGACATCCGATGCCTTCAGGATTCTTACTTGCGGCGCTTGGCACCCGATCTCGATGACAAGCTTTAGCCCTGAGCCGGTTGATTGTTGAAAGGTTAGCTATGGAGCTCTGGCGAATTAAAAACCAAACTGTCACCAAATGCTTACTCTAATGATTGAACCCCCTCTAGGTTTTCACGCCCCTTTCCATTGTCTTCATTGCAGGTTGTTTGTTGGCCGAATTTGTATCATGGGACCCGGACATTAAAATTCGGTTAACCCGAAAATTGAACTGGAATGGAGACTGTAAGTAAGCACATCGAATACCCCTAAACCCCTAAACGCTAAAACCTAAACCATCCTAGACCCCCGAAAGGCCCTAAACCCTTATCTCCTCAACCCTAAACCCCTAAGCCCCTAAACCCTAAAAGAGGTTTTCGGCTTGAGATTTCAGCATTTATGGCCAAATCCACGAACGCGGTGATCTTCACCATATCCAGCAATGCCCAGCTCCGCTTCGATCGGAGCAACCCCAGACCCGCTTCGAGCCCCGAGCCCCTCTCGAGGAGGCTACGGCCGGCCCCCGTGCTGCATCGGGTCCGTCGAGCGAGAGGTCCTTTAAAGGGATCATTTAAGGGTTCCTTTAAGGGTTCTATAAAGGGTGAAAGGCTTCGGGGTTCAGGGGGCTTTTGGGTTTTAGGGGTTAGGATTTCGGGTTGTTTGGGGCTTTAGGGTTTTAGGGGTTTGGGTTTAAGGGTTAGGGTTTAGGGCTCTAGGGTTTAGGGATTAGTGTTTAGGGCTTTGGGGTTTAGGGGTTTGGGTTTAGAGGTTAGGGGTGTAGGTTTTAGGTTTTATTAGTCTTTGGCTTGTCCAGCTTTGTGCGGCTTAGGGTCTCCAGTCGTGTGTGTGGCATCTGGGGATTGATTTCTTTCAGTGTTCATGGCTGTACAGTTACAACTGTATTGTCTTGCAGGGCCTTCGGCTGTCTTTAGCGGGTCGATTCCTTGCAGCCAATGAGAGGATCAATATATGGGTCGGAATAGCTAGTAGCATTACTAAGCCATTCGCTTCCCTAGTTACAGCGTTTGGTAGTATCATATACCCCGAAACCTTTTCCTAATTCTTGAGACCCCCTGCATTGAGCTTCCGGGTGTATGGTTTTCGGCTGAGGGTTTCGGGTTTGGTGGTTTGATGTAGCGATCGTTAGTTCGACTGCTTGCATTGCCTGGACAGTCTTCATGTTCATGTACCATCCAAGGGAAACTGAAGTTCTGACACTGCGCATCCTGCAAGGCTGCGCAAAGTTGCAGTTCACTTCCAGACGCCGGTGACTCAGCGGAGCCTGCCTCCTGCAAAGACTACGGGCTTGGTTATCGATTGTCCGAACTGACCAGGTTGAGAGTTTGGGGTTTTAGGGTTTAGGAGCATAAACCCTACAGTAAAGCCGGATAGTTTAGGGTTCCGGGTCTCGTTACAAGCGCTTCATAGCTTGAGGAGGCACTACGTAAACTCTCCAGGGCCTGCGGTTTGCGGCTTTTCAACCTCCTTCGGGCTCCTTTCTGGTAATGGCTGTCAGGCTCTGAGCCCTCAGAGTCTCGAGCGTCGTGTGCGGCCAAATCGCCCAAGGTCTAGGGTTTAGGGGTTTAGGGTTTAGGGGTTTTGGGATGGTTTGGGGTTTAGGGTTTAGGGCTTTAACATGAGAAGACAACCCCAACTAGAGCATGGTGTGTTGCAATTCTGGGTGCCCCTAAGCATTTCCCACCCTGAGCCCTGAAGCCTTAAGCCCCCTAAAACCCCAAACCCTACAAACCCTCAACCCCAAACCGTTAATCCTTGAGCCATGCTATGCCCCCAAAACTACAAAAACCTATACTAAAAAACCCTAAACCCTAAACCCTAAACCCTAAACCCCTAAACCCTAACTCCTTAGAATATCCCGTAATGGATCCGCATTTTTTAACAGCCGCTTTCAAGGCTCGGGTTGCCCCCGGATGCTGGATTGGAAGAGCTGAAACGTCGGGGGCTTGCGTGAGGTGGGTTCAGCGTTTGGGCAGCGGGGCTTGGGGTTCGGGGTTGAGGTTTGGGGCTCAGGGTTTAGGAATTAGGGTTTAGGGTTCAGGAATTTGTTCAGGCTGGAGCTTGTAGCTCCGCTTATCAGCGCGACAGTCGGCCTGTATACGGCATGAACTCTGATCGAGCGTGGGGCCGCACAGCTTCGACAAGCGGTCGCTGGGTCAAGGAAGAGGGCCGTCATTCGGAGTCGAGCTCCATGTCAGGCTCGGGTATAAGTTGTTCGAGTTGGGAGGGGAATTTGAGCATCGAGGATCTGCGATCCAAGTTTCACTGTTCACATGCTGGTCTTGGCATGTATGTTGTTGTGACTCCTAGCAATTTCTCACATGCAGGCTTCCGAAGATACCTGCAGCGCCAGACAGTTGAATGCAAAATCGTAATCCTGGGCCGTGGACATAGAGTATGTTGGCAACCCCGTGGACCCCCAACACCCTCAACCTGTCAGCGAGCCCTTAAAGCATATTGGAACTTTGCAAACTCCTTAAGCCTTTGAATTCGTAAAGCAACGCCATTCATGTAGTCGCGCAGGCCTGAATGATTTCCCGTACTACTCCCTGCGGCTCCCTTAAACGATCATTTGTACTGTGAACCCCCAATTCCATGTTTTCCTGCGGCCGTCGTACCCACTACTAGCAGCGCATCTTCTCGAGGCTCCTATCGCAAACTCATCTTGTTTGGGCCTCGGCCATGAGACATCGACAAGGAGTACTCCAACAGGTGTGTTTACGTGCTCGACCTTGGATCGTTCGGGTTCCGGGGCGACCGGGTTCAAGCATGGTCATGGTTTTGCTGGCCTCGGCCAAGAGTTGAGTTTCATATGCCAGAAATGACTCTGTCCAATCTTGCCAACTGAACATCAATGGCAGGTCCTGTGCTCAGAGAGCAGAGACAGGCATAATGAGAACAATGACTATATAGTAAGAGCAATAATGGAAGGAGTGACCCGCTGACTTGATGGCATGAAAGCAGAACCTCTTCTCCGGATCTCAATGTTTTCGACAGCAAGCTTTTGCTGCAAAATCTGGTCGTTGCATTTTCCCACCGAAATCTGTGAGTCGCTTCATGTTTAGGATTTCACGATCAATGTTTGTAGTGTGGGGTGACACTGCATGGTGCTGGATCAAAGGACATCTTGGTGACAAAAAAAACCATCAACTCGAAGCATCAGGGTACTAAATCTTGTATCCGCCGCAATAAAGCCAAGGCAGCACCACCCGGACAA